TTTGACCCTAGGGCATAAAGGCTGAATGCATGGGGCCTGCAAAGTCTGAGGATCAGTCTACACAGGAAAGCACACTTTCAGGACAGTGAGGGGAGAAGGGTTTTTTGAAAACCTTTTATTGAAGTATAATATATGTACAGAGAGAGTGTACATGTCATAAGTACACAGCTTGATAAACTTTCACAAACTGAAAACCAGCAAGAAGAGTTACTGTTTTGGATTCAGAGTGCTCTTTGGGAACCATGCTGAGTCAAGTGACTTAATTCACCCTAGCATCCTCCACTGTGGAGTTCTATGGCTGGTCTTTGAGTGTTATGGTGTTACACAGTTGAAACTAAAGTGGGATTTGGTATCTAAGTAGGAATTGATTTATGTGTGTATTTCCCCCCCTACTCTGTGAGACCAAGAACTTGTTTCATTCACTGCTTAGAAATTTTTCTGCCATGTAATAGATACTCAGTAAAAATAAATAAATAAATAAAGTGGGATTTGGTGTCAGGAAACCAGGGTCCAGATTCTGGACCCACTACAATGTTGCTTTGTGACCTTGGGCAAGTCTTTTTCACTTCTCAGAGTCTTAATTTCCTTATTTTGTGTAAAACAGTCAATGACAATTCCTACATTATCCAGGAGGTCAAATGTAGTTACAGTTGTGAAAGCACCTTTTAAAAATTTAAAGTGTCATTTCCCCAGTGCCTAGCACAGTACCTGCCACGTAGTAGCAGGTACTTATGCTACTTATATGAGTAGCATATAAGAAGTCTCAAAAATGTTTGCCAAACATTTTTGCCAAAATGTTCATGCCAAAGGTAATTCAACACAGTGTACACCTAAGGCTGTCTTTAAGGTAATTTCCCTCAAGAACATTAAGGTCAATTAAATCACCCTGGATCTTTCAGCTTTAGAGTCCTCTTTGCTTAAAGGGGAGGAAATTTATTCAGTGGGAATAATAATAAAAGCACAACAAGGCAAGATCATAGAATCCCATGGTGTTATGGTAGGTCTATAGTTTGAGATGGCTGGACATGTTTTTCTTTTTACTTTATAGTATTCCCCTGTGGCCTCTGATGTTTATCTGTAATACCTTGTAGTATAATGTTTAGATACTTGCTAGACCCCGCTGTCTCCATGGAGACAAGGGTAGATTTGTGAGTGTGCTGATCATTCCAAGTGACTAACCACAGCAGACAGTTTAGCCAACATTTTCTCTCTCTCTCTTTTTTTTTTTTGCAGTCCAGAAGTCTTGGAAAAGCCTACTGGACCGCGTGACTTGTATGGAATTCACTTTGTAAAATATCTTCCTTCCTGAATTTAGTTTACTTTGCCTTAGGGAGAGTGCAATTTGTTTATAGGAATTATAGCTTCTTGCCTGGAAATACTCTCTTGGTAAAATGAAACTATTTGCATATAGGAGGATTTCTAAGCCTCACTGCCCCTCCAAGCTCCTCCAAGATGTTCAGTAGGACAAAGGCAAATGAGAAATGTGCTTGACTAAGAATTGCCCCAGTATGCAAGCTACTCTGGAGCCTGGAAAGTCTTTCCCTCATTAGAGTAAAGCAATGGACCAAAGCCATAGTCCCCCATGGGTTCTGCATCTAGCTGAGCTTATTCTGTCCACAAGAAAGTGGCCTACTTATGATGGTGGTTGACAGCACCAAAGCAAGAGAGAGAATGTAGGACAATTTCTCTCTATGACAAATCCCTCTGAAAGTGGGAAGCTGACAGCAGGTGATGCCATCAAAACAGCCTGTGGCTTTCAAAGGTAGCCCTTCATCTCCTGGCCCAATACCTTCTCTTTCCC